CTCAAAATCTGAAGGTTGTGGGTTCAATTCCAGGGTGGGAATTTTAGATTTTAAAATTTTGTTACTTTTTGGGTAAATTAAAACATTATAGTTAATTTCGTAACCCTTTACAAGTGTGAAATTAGGCTTAGTCCAATGGTATGGACTATCGACTCGAAATCTGAAGGTTGCGGGTTCAATTCCAGGGGGGAATTTTAAAATTTATTTCTTTTTGGGTAAATTTAAACATTATAGTTAATTTCGTAACCACTAAAAAGTGTGAAATTATGCTAAGTCCAATTGTATGGACTACTGACTCTAAATCTGAAGGTTGTGGGTTCAAATCCAGGGTGGGAATTTTAGATTTTAAAATTTTATTACTTTTTGGGTAAATTAAAACATTATAGTTAATTTCGTAACATTTAAAAATTGTGAAATTATGCTTAGTCCAATGGTATGGACTACCGACTCGAAATCTGAAGGTTGCGGGTTCAATTCCAGGGGGGGAATTTTAGATTTTAAAATTTTATTTCTTTTGGGGTAAATTTAAACTTGATAGTTAATTTCGTAACCACTACAAAGTGTGAAATTATGCTAAGTCCAATGGTATGGATTGCTGACTCGAAATCTGAAGGTTGTGGGTTCAAATCCAGGGTGGGAATTTTAGATTTTAAAATTTTATTACTTTTTGGGTAAATTGAAACATTATAGTTAATTTCGTAACCTTTAAAAAGTGTAAAATTATGCTTAGTCCAATGGTACGGACTGCTGACTCAAAATCTGAAGGTTGTGGGTTGAAATCCAGGGTGGAAATTTTAGATTTTCAAATTTTATTACTTTTTGGGTAAATTAAAACTTCATAGTTAATTTCGTAACCTGTAAAAAGTGTGAAATTATGCTAAGTCCAATGGTATGGACTGCTGACTCGAAATCTGAAGGTTGTGGGTTCAAATCTAGGAAGGGAATTAAAGATTGTAAAATTTTATTTCTTTTTGGGTAAATTGAAACTTTATAGTTAATTTTTTATCCAATAAAAACAGTGGAATTATGCTAAGTACAATGGTACGGACGTTGACTTTAAATTTTAAGGTTGTGGGTTCAAATCCAGGGTGGAAATTTTAGATTTTAAAATTTTATTTCTTTTGGGTAAATTGAAACTTGATAGTTAATTCCGTAACCACTAAAAAGCATGAAATTATGCTTAGTTTTTTTTTTTTTTTTTTTTCTCTGTAGAGTTTAAGAAAACTCATTTATTCAAACACAAATGTCAAATTCAAACAATTCGAAAAGGAAACAAATTCAGTAAACAGAGTAACTGATGAGCCGGGAAATTAAACAAAATAAATCATTTGAAAGCAATAAAATATAGAAATGCATTTTACGTTTACGTATCCTAAACGTTTCTAAATGATATTCTGATCGTAGCTCAAACTGAAAAAAATTATGAATAAAAATATAAACCTGTAACTGTACAAATATCTACAACGTATGTACAAAAATGACTGAGATTCATATGGATCTCAAAAAAGGAAAAAAAGAAAAATATTATCAATCAGCCGGGAAAATACAAACAATACAGGTCAATATGCAAAGCGGATTTTGTTGTCAACAATTTCACAAATGGCACTATTTCTAAGATACAATTTCTGGAAATCTTTGTCATCTAATCTGCTTTTTTCAAAGTAAACAAAACGCTTCAGGTTAGTTTTGAATCTTTGCAGCATATCAACATCGGAGTCAATATAGTTTAACGAAATGGCACATCGCGAATTCCAAATAACTTTCAAAAGTTTTGCTATGAGAATCAAACTAGTGATGTTGCTTACGTTCCCCCCTGAACCCAGAATTCTATTTTCATCGTTGAGAAAGAAGTACTTGTTCCCTGTGAATTTTTTCAAAATATGTTCTACAAAAAGCCAAGAAGGAAGAGTCTTAATACAGTACAAAAACAAGTGTTCAATAGTTTCAGGTTGCGAGTTACATAAAACACAGTGGTCGTCTTCGGTGATACCTATTGTGTTTAGCCATGTTTTTGTTGGGATAATGCGATGTTTAATCTTATACCAGATGTCTATTTCGTCGTGGTCAAGGTGCTTATTATTTCCCCGTTTCCAAATAGTAGTCCAGTCTAAATCGGTACTAATGTTAAGAATTTCCTGCCATTTCTGCTGTGCCCATGGCTCAATAAAATCTTTCATTCGAAAATTGTTATAACAAATTTTGACAGTTAGGTCACGGACAGACATATTTTCCGACTGATCGGAAAAATCTCTTATTTCAAGCCAGTTAGAAACGTGATTTTGAGGTCCAATACGATTCTCATTAAACAAATTGGGGCAAATAAATTTGCGCAACCTATTGAGAACTTGACTGGCACCTCTAGGGTGAACATTGTACCGATCAGTAATTTGCCGTGGAGTGAGGAACCGACCATTGGAACAAACATGGTGCAACAAAGTGATTCCATGAGTTCTAAAACAAATGCTGTCTATTTCTTTATCCTGATTATCAGTAATGATGTCATTTTTGAACAAGGGTACTTGTTGAGCTTCGCGAACACAAGAAATATTACATTTAATTATCCCACCGGACTTATCGAACGCCTTCATGACTTCCTGATAAAAAGGAGGAATTCTTTTAAATCTTTTACAATTGTTGAACACATACCAGCCTAATCGATTGGGCCCACTGGCTTCACAAACCCAAAAGTTAAACCAAGAACGCCACGTGCCAGACGCTTTAGAGAAGTTAGCTAACCATTTAAGCTTGCAGCTGTGGATTTTTGCTTGAACGTTCAAAAGACCCGTTCCTCCGAGGTTTCTAGGAGCCCTAATGTTGTTTCTTTTTATTTTCTCTGGCTTAGAATGCCAATAGAATTTGAAGATAATGGCGTCCATTTCTTTAACCCATTGATCCGGACATGGGAGGATGCTGCCAAAGTACGACAACCCCGAACCAAAAAGACTATTGACTATAACAGCTTTACCTTTCAAAGTGAGATTTCGAGTGCGCCAAAGATTAAGAGTATTTTTCAATTTTTTCACCCTGGGTCCCCAATTATCTTCTGCAGGAACGTCATTTCCGAAATAAATGCCCAAAATTTTTAATTTATCGTTGTTCCAATCAAAGCCAAGGGGCTTGTCATTACGATTTTTCCAACTTCCTAGCCAAAGTCCTTTGGTCTTCTGAACGTTAACTTTCGATCCACTGCCGCTACAAAAGGTCTGCAAAGTGGAGCTAAGACAATCAAATTCAAGATTAGAACAAATAAAAACAGAAGTATCATCCGCATGTTGAATAAGCTTAATACAGTCATAGCTGTTGGGAATGCTAACCCCACCAAAAGAATCGTTCTTTCTGATAAGATTAGCCAGCCCTTCAGCACAAATAGCATACAATGAGGGCGACAAGGGGCAGCCTTGCCTAATACAGGAGACGTATGCGTCTCGTTAAAAAAAGAAGGATGCCGGTTCAATATATGAACCTGAAGCAGTTGGGAACTGCGATGGAGGCCGATGTTTCGAAAGAGCTTGCATGCCCGTCGAACGACACATGAGGGCAGCATTCAACAACATAAACACGCGACTGTACGGCGCTGTCTTCCGAGTGGCCCAAACTGTACCTGTTGATACCTTTGCCACTTTCTTATTACTGGTACGTCAGTATTACTAATTTTATTTAACCATTTAATAAATGGTATTCATTAATTTGGTTGTTTATATTAGCTATTGGTGAAATCTGCATTATTGTATTTAGTGAAACGTACTCCAACTTGTCTAAGAAGTGGCCGTAGACGTACTGCGTTTATTGTATAGCGTGGCATCCATAGCCACGCACGGCGCGCTGAATCGCAAGGCACAAACCGCGCAGGAAAATCGTGGTTTCTATCCCAAAAATCCGTTCAAAATTGCAAAACGGGTGTCATTAGAACTGAGGAAAAACTGCTTTGATTGTAAAGGTGATTTTTGAGCAATAAAAAAAAAACTTTTGACTCCAATATGACCGAAACAAAACAGGGGCCCTACACTTCATGATCGCCGTAATTTTTCCCTAAATGACCTAGGCCTATCTGTATCAGCCATCTGAAAGTGATATTTTGTCCTAAAAAGTCTAAATTAGCAGTGACAAATTTGAATTTTTACCAAGAAAACACTTTCAAATTTTCAGAGCAGTCCCATAGGGTTTGTGCACAGTGTGACAGTGTGACAAGTGATGGCCAGGTATGGGAATCTTTCCCAGTTAACATCAAAGGAAAGATTCCCATACACTGTATATGGCCATCACTTGCCACCCTGTGCACAAACCCTATAAGACTGGTCTGAAAATTTCTTAGTGTTTTTCTCAGTTAATACTTCAATATTTTCCTAGCTCTACTGAAAGGAACGCTGGAACTTCGGTACGCATTTTTCGTAAAAATTATTCACATTGCTAGGTTCATGGGCCGGTACGAATGGTCAACCTAGCCAACTGTGCAAACTGCAAAGTGACACGGTTCCTGTGCCGTGCTGACCGGCCAATGTGGCCGTCCGTTCACGGTGACATTGTTGCAGTTTGCCATTTTTCAACGGCATTAGAGACTTACTTGCAAATATTACCGAACTGAATTTTTACACTCTAAATATATTTCCATACCAAACTGTGTATTTCTTGCTATTTTATTTTTGATTTTACGGATGATCCTGCGGTTTTCTGATGAACCATTGCGCTGCCCGTGAAACGATTGCTTGTCTGCAGTCCATCATGAATCGATGATGATGTCAATTCAAAAAGTCATAGTCAGTGATTTCTAAAGTTTACCTATGGCAAAAAGTCAGATTTAGTGATTTCAAAAGTTTACATCTGGCAAAAAAACAAAAAAAACCCTTTAGGTTTCTTTAAGATAATGTAAACTTTTCGAATTGATCAAATTAGGTTTTGCCCTTCACCGACGTATAAACACTGTATACTCAGTCTGTTACCTCCCGAGTGAAAGTTGGGAAAAATCAAGCCGGTGGGACTCGAACCCACGATGTCCAGTGCTTTCTAGTGCAGGTGTCTTACCACTCGACCACCGAGCTAACGGGATCTGTTGGCCGGTTCGATTTGAACTTTAGCAGCGGGTACCGCATAACTATTTATTGCCAAATCACCCAGTATTGCTGTTCCAATGTGCAAGGAAACAGGTCATCTGGTACCTTGGGCAACTCGTACCTTGGACAACTCATACATTTAATGTGACATCATTATGCCAACTCGTACCTTGGACAACTCGTACCTTCAATAAAGACGTCTCGTTCCATTACGTGTAAGTCAAGTCGTACTGAATCAATTAAAAGTACAGACTGCTCTTGCAATATGTGTTTTAATTTTGGTTAGGCTTAAAAAAGAAGAAGTTATGTTGGCGTAATAACGGGCTAGAAAAAATAGGGTAGGTAGGTCGGTTTTTTTTTTTATTATTTTTTTTTTTTAATCCCAGCAACGAAAATGACATTAAGCCGGTAGTAGTACACGATAACACAAGAAAACAAGGCTACACACAATATTTGTATACTTTTAAACTCATCATCAACCTTTCCAAAGGTACATATTAAAAAGCGGAATCCAAAATCAGACAAAATGTTAGCCGTTTCATCTGCGTCGACATCTTTATATGGACCCGATTCTTCCTTTGAAGTTTGTATTTTTAGCACGGTGTAACCCGCTTTTACACCATCGGCACAGCTCTGGGCGATTACCCCCAGCTCTTGACTCAAATTTATCCGCATTAAACGGTCGAAAATGACCGAAGATCCCCATTTGCCCTTGATGGAAACACTGTACGCTTCGGTACCGGGCGCCATGATGCGACGGCGTACGCGCGTAGCCACGGGCCGGGGGCTGGCCGGGTCGCGTCGGCCGCCGGGGTTACAGAATAGTTTACCATTTTTAGAATATATATCAATTGTTATCGTGTAAAATAGTGGGAAATTAATTAAAATAATTTATATTATAATGAACTATTTTTTTTAACATGGAATAAATAGCGAAGTATTTTCAATAGTGTACATGTACAATATGTAGCAGTTCGTGCCATGCAACAGTCTAGGATGAGGCTATACATGTACTGTACATGTACATGTGCATCTATCATGCATGCATCGTGCATCGATCTCCGCACGCGCGCTGTAGGCCTGCGTGATCTTCTGCATGTTCGTTGTGTCATGGAGAGGAAGGTGCAAAACATTGTGCACTCCAAAGTTCCACGCGCGCTATCGTCATACAATTGAGGAGAAACGGTCAGAAATGGTTTCAAAACGTATTTAAAATTCATTTCTATAGATTTTAATTATATTTCTTCCCTTCAAAAAAAAAAAAAAAATATCCAGGGTCGGCCGCATTTTTAGGGTCGGTCGGGTTACGCCAACATAACACTTTTTTTTTTAGGCCTTAGTAGACTTCGAAAGAAAACGAATGCAGGAAATACTTTGACAGTCACCATATGTGAAGATGAAATGGTTACTCTCTCCTATTCATCTCAACATTTATTTCCATATTTCAAAGAACATTCAGGTAACGGAAAGATTTCCATATACGAAGTTCACTAATTTTCCTCTGTATTGACTATAAACAAGCCCCCAGATAGCAATTTCATGTCATCAAAGTCAATTTGAGCAGTGAAAAAATACAAGCATTTTCTTAGAAAACACTTAGAATTTTTCAGTCCAATCTCATAGGGTTTGTACACAGGGTGTTGAGTGAACTTCGTATATGGAAATCTTTCCCAGGTAACTATACAAAAAGGTCAAGAAACGAATGTTTGTTAAAAATATGAGATTAATGATTATGTAAAGACACAACTGAAAAAAAGTAAATTTAGAGAAAGTAAATCTTTAAATTTGCTTTCTCTTATTTTGTATCTGTTAAGTGTTTAATTCTTTGCTAAAGCTCGTTCTGGATGAGAACATCATAAGCTTTGAACTTGCTACCTTGGTACTGGTGCACACAGAATGCGCATCGGGCACTGAAGCATTATAAAAAAAGTTTCCAAATATTCTTGAAGTAATAACTAACACTTCTTGGCAGCAATAATCCTTCTGTTTACAAAAAAGGACCACCCCACCCCCCAAAAAAAAATGTACTTAAAGAAAACAAAATAAAAGTTTCAAAATATTCTCTAAAGGGTACAGTCCATCATTTGTAAATTGTGTATTTTACTCGTTTGAAGCAACAAACACGCTCAAAATCTAAAGAAGGGTACTGAACAACTAATTTGGTGAAGTTTCAGCTCAGCTTCAGCTGTAGGCCTACATTTCGAGTAAAACAACATTCTAGGATTTCGATTTCAAATCAAAAGATGCTGAATCTTGTTTTGAATTTGGCCTGAATTCAGTGTTGGAGACACGTTCTCACTGAGCTAATTGCAGCTACGCAATGTCACGCACTGATCTGATGAATTAAAACAACCGCGCGAGCGTGTGCATCATGTCAACGCTTGCGCGCACTTCGCCAACTAAAAAAAGGAACTACTAACGGAAATTTCCAACCATGTGCCTTTAGATGCATCGTTGGAAAGGCCTTCTTTCATTGATTTCTTCCCAATGACCGCATGCCAGAACAAATAATTTCACAGGGAGTTTTTGTCCCCTTACTATCTTTCAACCAAGTAGTTATTCAACACTAAATATCGTTTTGGATAGCTGCAAATGATGGACTGTAGCTTTAAATGATCACTTAAACTTCTTGGCAGCAATAACAAAATATTGAGTGCATACATGTATGTACATGTACATGTATATAGCCACGTTCATGGGTCTATATCAAGCCATATCTTATTTTTCTTCTGAAAACAACATAAGAATGTATACATGTCATCAATAGCAGCCCCAATGCAGTATACAAGGTAGAAAAGCCACCAAAATCATAATTTTTTTCATATTTTAGTATAAAGCATAAATAATGAAATGTCTTTCCTGAAGAGAGTCAGAGCATACTGACCGGAACGTCGAGTTGATACCTCTGGTGCTTTTCAGAACCATTCTCTTAGTTGAGAAGCCTCAACTCTTACTTAGAAAGCATAATTCTGTTTCAAGTCGACCAAATGCTTCGTAAATGATTGCTGCATGGTTTGAAGTAAGCTTAATCTCATCTGGGTTTGGATAATAGGGGAAAAGGGAAAACTTTAGTATTTGCCAAATTTCAAGGCCTCCGCCAATTTTCAACTGCTGGACAAAAACTAGATGTGCCTCCAGCTCTACATGTCAAATTCGTGATGAGCATTGGAGCTGGAGTTTCTCATCTCCATCTTGTATTGCAAGTTTTCAATACCTTAATATTTGGGACTCTCATAGACAGTATTGAGAGTCCCAAATGTTTGGACAACTATTGGAAGAGTTCCACATCTGGACATCACTTGACACCCGGTGCACAAACCCTAGGAGACTGGTCTGAAAAATTTGAAGTGTTTTCTTCATAAACGTTTCAATATTTTCCCTGCTAAATTTGACTTTTAAACATGTCATCCGTTTCTGATGGCTGATAGGTCACTGTGGGGAAATATTAGTGATGTGCATGCAATATGTATGGAATTCTTCCCCAACTATTTTTTCCCCAGCAGTCAGAAAATGACGGAGGCCATGAAAAATTGCCTCAACTGAAATTGTCCTTTTCCCCGATTATCCAAACCTAGTTGAGATTAAAATGATTATTTTGGTGGCTTTTCAGATAGAACCGTCGCGTCGCAGCCGTGTTGTGGCGACATTTACAGCTCGCATCTCATACTGGTATGGTATCCACATATCCATCGCACTGCATAGAGACATGTACACGATATGGTTACCATACTATTTTCAGGTGCACGTTGTGATTTCAAATTTTGACCCTCCCCCTAGATATCCCACTGGTCATAAGGGCAGATCCAGAACACAATTTTGGGGGGGGGCCAAAAAAAATTTTGTTCCCCCCAAAAAGTGGGTCAAAAAATTACGGCGTGGGGTTCGGGGCCCGCTTAAGGGCCCCGAAAAATTTTGGATTCTAGATGCTCTGTGGTGCGATCTGAGGCAATTTCTGACCACTTTAACCAATTTTTTTTTAGGAAAAGATGGTGGTGTACTCATTGCCTGCCTTTATTGCAATGTCACATTAAAAAAAAAAAAAATTGGTTTCGTTTTGGGGGGGGGGGGCCATGGCCCCCTTTGGCCCCCCCCCCCCTGGATCCGCCCTTGACTGGTCATGGCTTTTAATAGTATACAACTGCTTTATGTGCAGTTTCTTTATATTTCCAGTGTGTTTTTGGTCCAACGTAATAACACCAAAATGGATGAGAAGCAGGGACCAATTTCTGATGATGTCCCAACTGGGGAGGTAACGTCAACCACAGTTACAGAGGGTGATGTTGTCAAGATGCCAACAGATGTGGCCATCACTATGGATGCTATTCCCAATGAAGATGAGGAGGACAAATCCAAAGGTGACTTGTTATTCTTTTACTTGGTGAAGACGTTTGCTCCTTTGCCAGGTCAGCTAAGTGTAATACCATTCATGTGATTTTGTCCATTCTTGCATATTGGAAACTTAACACTTTAACCCAGTGAAATTAAATAGTTTTCCATTTCCGGATAGTTCTGGGTAGGAATGACTGCATATAGATGTCTGTCCTTGCTGCAATTTCTGTGAACTGGTGGTTGTGAAGTCTACAAGCCTGTGCTGGTTTGGGGACTATGGATGATGATTTAATGTGAACTATGTTGTGTATTATTTTAGTAGGTAAGTTGGTTAACTTTCCTTCTCTCTTCCAGTGAAGACCAGCCTAGGGTTGTCAACATGTCGGTCACACTGCTCAGTCTGGAATAATCTCGCATTACGAAACGAGCAGCCCTCATCAGTTGCATTTTTTCCAGGGACGTTATGTTCTTAGCTACATGTATGTGAGGGTTCCAAGCAATGCTGCCATATTCTAGGTGTGGTCTGACTACTGCTAAGTACAGCTTTTCTTTGACTGATCTGGATGCAGAATGAAAATTTATTTTGATGAAGTTCAATATACGACTTGCTTTGGAAGTGGCATATGCTGTTTGGTGATTCCAACTTAGGTTATTCTGAATGATTATTCCCAAATATGTGATGTTGGTTTTCTCTACGAGGTTGGATCCTAACATGGTGTCGTTAGTTTTGCCGGGGGCCCGCTTCCCGGAGATTCGCATGATGTTACATTTGCTGGAGTTAAATTTCATTCCCCAGGTTTGCTCCCAGTGAGCCAAGTTGTCCAGGTCTTTTTGGAACATCAGTTCATCAGTTGATGAGCAGATCTTCCGATGTAACAGGCAGTCGTCAGCGAAAAGGCGAGTTGTGCCAGTCACCGATTTGCTTATGTTGTTGATGAAAAGTAAAAACAGGTGGGGGCCAAGCACGGTGCCTTGTGGTACGCCACTGTCGACACTTTGCCATTTCAAAGATTTTCCATGTACCACAACTCTTTGTGACCTGTTGGTTAAGAATTCCCTGATCCATCTCTGTGTTTTTCCCCTTATCCCGTAGTAGTCTAATGTTTGGACCAGTTTTTGATGAGAAACTATGTCGAATGCTTTGGAGAAGTCAAGTACTGCCATGTCTATGGTGATTTGTTACGAGTTGGGATTTGCAGGACAGGCCTTTACGAAAAGCATGTTGGTTTTCGTTCAGGATGTTGTGTTCCTGGAGATGTTTCATTTATTGGCTATCAATGATGTGCTCTAATAACTTAAAGCAAACAGAGGTCAACGACACAGGTCTGTAGTTTGCCGGGTCTGCACGAGAGCCTTTCTTAAAAATGGGTGTTACGTTGGCTTTCTTCCAGTCAGATGGTAGAGAACCCAGGTCAAGTGCTTGTTGGAATATGAATGCGAGTACTGGGGCAACTTCATTGGCAGCTAGTTTCAAGTTGAGCGACGTCAGTAACTTGAGGACTCATCTAACAGACACGGTGATGTTTGTCAAGTGTGAGTAGGGACTCGGTGGTAGAACTGGCTGCACATCGGTGTCATCCCAGCTGAAAACACTACAGAATTGGTCTTGTAGGGTTTCAGCTTTTTCTTGGTCAGATGTGATATTTTTCCCGTTGAGTTTCAGAATCTGAACCCCTGTGTTGTCTTTACGAGTGCTGTTTATGTAGCGCCAACATTTCTGGGGGTTACCTGTAGATGTAGTTTCTTGTAAATGTGTGCGTTTAGCCCTTCGGATTTCGCTGTTCACTTGCTTTTGCAAAAGTTTGAATGTAGACCGCTTGTTACTGCCTTCACATAGCTGCGCTCTTTCTTCCTGCAGAAACGGATTAGGACAGTAGTGAGCCATGAGGGTCTACAATGTCCCTGGACTGGTTTTTGTGGTACTAATTCGTTAGTTTTCAGCCTGTCCCTAAAAATACTCCAATTTGCCTCAACTGTTCTGGTTTCTGGAGATGACTGCATGAATTTGGTCTTAAGCTCGAAGGCAGATTTGTTCAGCTTGGATTCATCCACGTCATTCCACTTGAAGATGGTCCTAGGGGGCTTGACAGAGCGAGGTGCGGTGATGTTTATGTCAGCTAGCACTGTTGCGTGATCGCTAATTCCGGAGTTGCTGTAAACATTACAAACCAGAGTTGAACGTGTGGTGAAGAGCAAATCGAAGATGTTATCTGTTCCTGTAACTGGGTCTCTTTTTGTAGCAAAATTTGCCTTTTGTTCGAGATTGTAGTCATCATGTTGATAATTTTGGATTGAATACCGTTTGCCGAGAAAGTACATGTACCAGTCCTTGAGTTCCAAAGCATGCCTGGGATGTTAAAGTCTCCTCCAAGAATGATGAATGGGGAGTTTACCTGAGCCTGCAATTTACTCAGACTTCTGTCTAGGTTTTCTAGAGATTCTGGCCTGTAGGAGTCGGGGGCTCTATAATATGCAGAGATGAAGATGTGCTCTCCTTTCGGCTTGAGCGGTAGTTGGCACCCGAGTAATTCACAACCATCTTCAGAAAGTTCAATGGCTGAGAAACCATCCTTAACCAAGATAAAGACACCTCCGCCACGTCTGTCGTTTCCTCTGTCCTTGAACCTTCGTTCAACTGTCAAACTTGTGAATTTCTGATGAATGAATGCAAAGTTTACAAAGCCATTCATATCTTAAAACATTCATTCTTTTATAATAAGATGGAATTTTGCGTCGGGGTGATGTAAATCAAATTGGGTTTTGCCCTTCATCGACTATCCATCTTATGAATAGTTAATGCAGTACCCGCTGCTATGTACATCAGATTTGAACCAACCAGCTCGGTGGTCGAGTGGTAAGATGTCTGCACTAGAAAACAGGAGGTTGTGGGTTTGAGTCCCACCCGAGTGATTTTTTTCCAACTTTCACTCGGGAGGTACCACACTGAGTATACAGTGTTTATACATCGGTGAAGGGCAAAACCTAATTTGATTCATTCTTTTGTTGATTAATACAAAGCCCATTAAAAAAGGCAAATAAAAATATCAAAATATTATGAGGCATCAATAAAGTATCAAGTATCAGAAAAGCAAACTAGTTCAAATACCAGAATGGTGATAGTACATACATGTAGCATTATTTGTGCTTGGCAGTTTTGAATTACACACACAAAAACAGCAGCTTGTAGAAATTGGTCATTTTTGGGAACCGTCCAAATTAAGATATTTATATATAGGTTTATCTCTAACTTTACAAAGAGGTTCATATTTTAAAGCACTGATTTTTTTCAGTTACAGTATACATTTGTTGTACATCTATATTAAGACTGTTCGACTTTGGAATGCTTCTTATTCAAAATTTGAAATTAATTGATCTGTTTGTTATTGTGAACTGATTTTGTTGTGCAGTGTCTCACTTGAAAACTCATAATTAAACTTACAAATATCTCATGCTTAAAAAAATCAAAGTAAATTTATTTTCTCTGATTGGAGTTGGTTTTTTAATTTGTTTGTTTTTGTCTATCAGGTCTTGACCCACAAGATAACCATTGCGCCAGCACCTCTGACGTACCGATGACTGGTGCTGCCATGACGGATCCTTATCACTATCTGACACAACAGCACTTCACCTCAGAGATCTTCAAGATTGAGATCCAAAACCTCCCAAGATATTTTGGATTTGCGGTGAGTTTGCTCTCTATGCTTTCAACTCTCGATAATGATAATGCAGTTTGTGCTCTATTAAGAGTTCACTATGTTTTCCATGGTGAAGATTTCTCAGGGTCTTTTTGTAATTTTGTCTAACAGAATTTAAAGGCAATTGGATGAATTTCACTGAAACCTGGAAATATCCTAGCCTCATGTCAATATGAAAGTAATGGTAAACTGCATGTAGAAAGTTGTCATCTTTTTTCCAGTGCACTTTTTACAATGCCTGTACACTTTAGGGGCCATTCAGAATTTTCAATGTTTTAAAATTTCGACTTTTTATCCAAATTATGTTGACCCACCCACCCACCCCTAATTTCGATTAATAAAAAACTGATCATGTACATATACTTGAACATGTAGATGTACATGTATACCCATGTACATGTACATGTGTACCCATGTACATGTGTGTCTAGTTCAGTGACGGCGTGAAGTTGTCGGTCTTCCTCTTTTGCAGTGGTGGCCTTCAGTGTTCTTGTGTTTTACCAGCTGATATGCTGTTTGGAAAAGCAGGTTGCAGTCTTGGAAGCCACAAAGATGACCGTAGTTTTGTCATTTTCTGGATTAGCCACAGACTGGACTGCCTCCGTAAACAAAGGTTACACTGCCACCATGTAAAAAAACATGTCGAACTCTGTCAAATTTTGATTTTCACATTTAGGCTTAGTTCGTAGTTTATTTTTGCTTTAGAAGCATACTACCCTCTTTAAAGGCTTATCAGAAAGTGCTGCCTTTTTCAGGTGTCTGTTTTTCGTGAAATTTCCAGATTCGTTTGCACACGTTTGCTTATCAAAATTTCAACATGAAATTTTACGAAAAATAGACATCTCAAAAAGGCAGCACCTTCTAATTAGCCTATAAAGGGGGTGAGTATGCTTCTACAGCAAAAATAAACTCCAAACTAAGCCTAAATGTGAAAATCAAAATTTGACAGAGTTTGACATGTTTTTGTATATGGTGGCAGTGTGGCCTTTATTTACGGAGGCAGTCCAGTAAATTGGCCACATTTATGGGGCTATTTCTGGATGAGGTGGATGACATGTGACATATGAGGTTGTGCCTGTCACGTGAGGTAGCTGAGAAAAACATTCCCTCGAACCCCCTTCCCCTATTTGCAGGGCGGGGGTACGAGCGAAAGAAAACATCAAGTTTGGGCAGTCATCACATGACAGGCTGCGGTCCTCGTATTCTTGGAGTCCAGTGGTTGAATAGTCCAGTTTTTATAGCGATTGGTAATCGACGCCCGCGGCGTGTTATAGAGCCGATCTAGTACACCTGGTACCCTGCTGCCTCTGCACGGCCTAACCGCTACAAACGCCCGGCATCCAAGTCTACTGAAAAACTACCTCCCTCTCATGCCACAGTGGGTCTATATTCACGTACATGTACATGACGCACATGTACAGTACATACACGGGACCAAGTTGGAAAAGAAACACGCATCGCAATATCGGAACGCTTGTGCGTTGTTCAGGCAAGTCCAAAGATCTATCTTTCTTTGTTTTTTTTTATCTTTTTTCCATGGAAAGTGAATTTCGATTTTCAATTATTTAGCTTGACCCACCCACCCACAATTTGGAAAAAGATCGAAATTTTAAAACATTGAAAATTCTGAATGGCCTTTTAATAGTTGTTTCTACTGTTGCTGCGATATCGCTTTAGGTATTTTCTGTGTAAATTGTGAAACTAAAATTCATTGCATTGAAATGTACATGTACACGTAGCAGTTTGTTAAAGTATCTGACTGACTGCCTGTGCCTCGTGCACAATGAACAAACAGTCACATCAACCTCAACCAAAACACTTTGTAACTTTCCGTCCTTAAACAGCAGTGACACTGAAGTTCCAGCTCATGACATCACTGTATTGCTCATGAATATGGAACTTGGCACTTTCTTAAAAGTATTTTAAAGCCTGGAGCATTAAACCCTTCATCAACTAAAAACCTCAAAATCTGTTTCAAACACACTTTAAATATCTGCAGTGGAAAATGTAGGGTTATACTGTACAAATGTACAAATGTAGATGTTTGTGCCAATTCATGTATATTTTCACACAGACAAAGTTTAAAAACAAACTTGCTCATTTAAACGCACACAAAAACCTCATTCAAGTAACATTTAACGTGTGCATTTAAGTATGCAGTTTTGTAATCCATTGCCTAGACGATCATTTTCAAGTATTTCTGAACCAAGAATGTAAGATTTGCTGTGATCTGGCAGATGCAAGATAGGCGCAGATACAAGTGGTGCTTTCAGCGTGCTCAATGCATGTTCCTGTGCCTCTTCCCATTTCACATGATTCGGTTTTCCTTTCTTAGTCAGATCGGAAAAGTTCGGAATGAATTTGCCATAGTAATTAACAAGGCTTATAAGTGATCGAACTTCCTTTTTCATTCGTGGACGAGATGCATTCAGGATTTTTGTGATCTTTTCCGTCTGTGGCTTTACAACACCGTTTCCTACAATGTGCCCTAGAAAATCAAGGAAATCATATCCGGCCATAATTTGCCTTGCGCAAGGGGTTCAAAACATCTTGAATTGTTTCGATGTGTTGTTCCCAAGTATCCGTGTATATCAGAATATCATCAATGAAATTCACGACATGCTGTATGTTTTCCAGCAATTTTCTCATCATGCGTATGAAAGTAGCCGGTGCATTTACCGTTCTGAAAGGTAACAGAGTGAATCGAACTATGTGCTTTTTGAGGAGATTTGCGTGAAATGTGTGTGGCTTACATGTACGTTCATCTCAATACAGTAGTCGTGTTGTGCAACTTTCCGTAATACAGGAAATGGCCCTTTCCATTGCATGAGTAATTTGTTTGCGTCAGTTGGCAGGACAACTAATACTCGGTGGCCGGTATCAAACTTTCGATTTATCAAGTACGCGCGTCGTAGTATTTCTTATAGCGAGTACTGAACTTCGCGAGTTCTTCTCAAGCTAGTTCGCAAGTAGACTCTAGCCGTTCACACAAGTCTATGACATATTGGTAAGTTGTCTTTACCTCTTAATCTAATTTTTCTCCAGTCCATAACTCTCTGAGGATAGTAAGAGGACCTCGTACTGAACGACCGTACATGAGCTCAAAGGGAGAGTACCCCGTGCTCTCTTGCGGAGATTCTCGATACGCGAACAACAGCACAGGGATATACCGTTCCCAATCACGCGGTCTCTCACTGCACATGCGCCTTAACATTCGTTTCAGTGTACCATTGAATTTCTCAACGAGTTCATTACAGATTGGATGGTAGGGTGTAGTTTGCAGTTGTTTCATTGACATAAGTCTGCCTATTTCTTTCATTAGATCCGAGGTGAATTGTGCGCCAATATCTGATAGCATTTCATTTGGATCGCCCATTGGAGTAAAGATTTCAAACAATGCTTCCACTATGCGTTCTGTTTCAATAGGGCTACGGCTTCCGGCTAGCGCGTCGCATAGTCGACCAAAGTCAGAATGTATCTATTGCCTTGTTCCGTGATGGCGTGAATTGGTCCTATCAAGTCTACGGCTACTCGTCTAAATGGCGTATCAATTCAAGGTATTCTACCTAGAGTAACCTTGCCGACACGACCTTTCGCGACCGTTCTTTGGCATATGTCACAGGAAACGCAGTATCTTCGGATGTCGCGACACACGCCTGGCCAAAAGAAATTTGCAAGTACGCGGTCTGTTGTTTTCTTGATACCGAGATGCTTTGCCATGGTGGAATTGTGTGCATGCTTCAATACCTTCGAGTGCATTTTCTTTGGGAGTACCAACTGTGTGATTACACGATTTTTTCTGTCAACGGTGAAGCGAATTCATGGTAGAGTAATCCGTCCGAGACGAAATACCTAGTTTCGTTATCCTTACCCGTTCGTCGGCTTTGACCTGTTTCCGCGAGGGTCAATAGCTTTTCCAACAACGGATTTTCATGTTGGAGAGATTTTGCACTTCGGGAACTTTAAGATGACGCAAGTTCGTGACTTTCTTTAGCTTTTGTGCTCTTGTCTCAACTGCCGCTGTTTTCTCGTCGCGAGGGCTTTGGCATTTCTGTTCTGGTGTGTCATTTCGTTTACCTGACCAACTGGGATCAGGATCACGCGGGTCTCTAACACCTGTTATGTTTCCCTATAAGATTGTACAAGGGATTTGGCATACACAATGCATTCACGGTTCCTACAAAATACAGCGAATCTATTTCAATACGCACGACTGAAAAATTCCGTGTACTGTCTAGAAGAACACACTTTTGTTTTGTCTCCAACATTTGTTCCTTCTTAACTAAACTCTGTTTGACGATAACCGTACTACATCCGCTATCACGCAGAACCTTAACCGTTTTGTTGCCTTACTGGAATTTGATTACCGATTGTACACGTGACACTAATCATGGGGACTTCATGCCCACAAGACAGTTTCAAATTTTCTCCTATTTGACCTGCACATTCGCATAGCGCAGGCCTCGATCTTGGGCAAAAAAGGGGCAGGCCACTTTGGCCTTGCCCCCATCAAAATTCCACAGGGCACCAAGGCCAACTCAAGGGGGCACCAAGGCTAATCATTTCAAAACCTTTAATTTACATTTATTTACAGCCAGTGTACACACGCCTATTTTCTAGGTCACATAAACAATCTCAGAGTATTCAGTTCTCGTACAAATGTACACCATGTCCAAAGAGCTTCGTTTCCGATTTCGCTTTATCGCTTGTAGCTTTTAATGTTCTGATCAAATTTTTAAATAAATCGCTTTCTTTGTAATATAATACAGTTGATGTTTCTGTAAGATAACATTTGACTAATGTTGATCTGGAATCTTCAAACTTAGGCACCCAAATAGCACTGTTAGCAGGCGGAGCCGAATGAAGACCGAGTTTTGGAAAATCTCGGTAACGGTCGTCAAATTCAAAATTGTACATGACGCAGCAAAAAATTCGCCCATACGATCCCAGTATATTTGACGCACAGTTTTCTCTAAACGAAAGCAATG